GTAGCAACATGTCACGTAGTAAGCGATCCCAGAGATCTTAGCAACATGGCAGTATATCATGTACGAAGTACAAGGAACGTTAGCATGCCCCCCCACCCCACCCAACCCCAACCCCAATCCACACCAGAGATCTCAGCAGCGTAGCAACATGTCACGTAGTAAGCGATCCCAGAGATCTTAGCAACATGGCAATATATCATGTACGAAGTACAAGGAACGTTAGCATGCCCCCCCACCCCACCCCACCCCACCCCAACCCCAACCCACACTAGAGATCTCAGCAGCGTAGCAACATGTCACGTAGTAAGCGATCCCAGAGATCTTAGCAACATGGCAATATATCATGTACGAAGTACAAGGAACGGTAACATGCCCCCCCACCCCACCCCAACCCCAAGACAAAGAGCAATACTCAAAAAAGAAGCAAAACGCACGTACGGTTTTCCAGCCGTAGGCATAAACATCCTATTCATATCCGATCACATCTCCATGTCACCATTCATGTCCCATTGTTGCGAGGCCTCCATCCCGGGTGGCTTGGAGGTACCACTGGGGATGGTCTACTGCCGAAAAAATTGGATGGACAATGCTGATTTCATAAGGGGATGGTTGATGAATTGATGAATGTTTATGAAATTTGGTTTATGTCACTATGTCACATTGTGACTTGATTCTATATGTTGAGTTGTGTTTAGTTGTCTTTTGATGTTTGTGGCCCATGTTTTTGGGGGTTGGAACTTTTACCATCAATCCTATATTTTTGGAGATCGAGAGGACGCAGCATAGGTCACTATAGGATGATTTCATGATGCTAAAACACTTACACCTAGGTTACCTAGGTTATCATAGAAGTGCCAATGTTAAAGGAGTCAACCATGCAAACATTGTTATTGGAAACTTATTGGAAAATTGTACACCTTATATCAGATCTTATATTGCTATTTTTTGAGTACACATCATATACAATCCTTATGTTTTGATATGTTTAGTATAGTATATTTACACCTGTCTACTTTATTGTTGGTATGATTTTCCGATTTACCACTAATAGCATTTACTAGTACAGTGTGTTTCAAATAGTTGCACTAGTAGATTTAGATATTTAGTATATCTATGATTGTATATGTAATGATGTGTGCACCATATATAAATATCATATCTCTATATAGACCATATATAGACCATTACAAAATAATTTAACTGGCGTCTATTTGTTTAAATGACAACCATTCGACCAGTTTCTGCAATCCATCAGGCAGGAGCTGCAGTACAACTCCACAAGGCCCGATGCGAGGCGCGACCTGCTGGGAGGTCAGGGTTTGGATCAACGTTGGTTGGGTCGGAAGAAGAAGATCTATGGAAATTAATGGGATTGAATAGGAATTTCTATTTATATTATATACATATATATATATAGAATCTATATATATATATAGAATCTATATAAATATAGAATCTATATAAATATAGAATCTATATAAATATAGAATCTATCTAATTATATATATATATATGATATATATATATATATAGAATATATATATATATGATATATATATATAGAATATATATATAGAATATATATATATACACGGATTATATGGGATTTAATGGAATATAATATCATGATCCTACAGTAACTTATTGTTAAGTGTGGAAAACCCAGCATTTGTAGGTCATGTTCTGAATGGGGAACCATGTTGTTTACATATCTATGTTAGCTTACAGGAAGAAAATTGCTCATATACATATGATATAGAAACCCAACAAAAAAGATGCTGTAACCAACCAACCAAACCTTGCAATTGCGCATATTTATCACCAACTATTTCTGGAATATGACCAGTCACCAGTTAGACAAGTTGGACTCCAGTATGGCATAGCACCGGACAGCCATTTGAACAGTGGTGAAGCCAGCCCATCACCAGCAACGTAACTGGTTTGATTCATGACCAGCTTGTGTTCAAACGTGTTCGTGGGAAAGATGGAGATGTCTCGGTGAAATAAGCTGGTATATTGGATGATTTATTGGTGAAACGAAATACAGGAATAAAGAAGGTATTGGTGTAGACTTGAATACCAAAGTGCCAAAGGGTTGATTCAGCCACATGGTTGTTCCATATGTTTGTTCCATAGATGTTTACTTGGTGGAACCCTGATCTGCAAATTGGTTAGACTTACAACCATCGTTGGATCCCTTATTCTTGAGACCCATAGTCAATTTGAATTTGTTGCTTATACCTAGAAATATAGCAACTCCAACATAGGTGGAAAAGTTGGAAACTTGAACATAATATTAAAAGAATATATATATATATATATGATATATATATATATACAGTAAATATAATCCGTAACCTCTTGGAAACACGTTTCTATCTTTTGTGTGTGTGACTATAATATCCCTACATCATCCTGTATCCTTATCGTGAAACTGAAATGGTTGTTTATATCACTTATATTCAATGAATGTTCAGCTTCCCCGTTGCATATAAGACACGTAATATACACAATATATATATATACACATACATTTATATTATACCATATACCGTATACCCAGAGTAAATTTCATATCTTAGTTGACTGTCGTCCAATCAGCATGGCCAGGTTGCTTCAGAAGCCCCTGGCGGCTTCGTTTTGGGCCCTGGCGGGCCCAATGCACAGCTGCGCTCCGGCACGGTGTACTTTCGGGAGGCGCGCTGGTGGCTGAGATATCATGGGGATGAACAACCAACATATGGAGGTTTCCTAAAATGAGGATATATACCCCTAAATCATCAATTTTATACAGTACGATTTTCCATTATTATTTATTATATACTGTATAAACCATCAATTTTGGGGTATCACCATTTATGGAAAGCCCCATATGGGGATGGGTCAAAACCTTATTATTACGATATTTGGCTGAAAAACCATCCAGTACAGTAACCATCTATTTTAGGGTACCTAAAAGTACTAGGGTTTTGACCCAGAACCATATCCAAATTGGTATTTTTTGTATATCAATCCCATAATTATCCAGCTATATAGTGTAATTGGTTTGTAATCAGTCGCATCTAATACCTCTTACAATATCTCAGAAAATATCCAACATGATCCAACTATATAATTGGTTTATCAATCAATTAGGTAGATTAAGCATATATCAAAATAATTGGTTTCTGAATCAGTTAAATCAGTTATATCACCATTTCAAAATGTCTCAGAAAATATCCAAGATTATCCAAGTAGTGAAATGCTATACCATCGTGACAGTCGATTGAGATAACCAAGATGAACAATATTCTTAGGGGTTTTCCTGGTATCATCGGTAAAATCCAATATTCTCTTCCGCCATGTCGGAGATTCTACCTGGGAAGGGCGTCTGACAATTGTCGAATGTGCCACTTATAGTATATTTTTGTGAATCCAAATGATTGGCAAAAACGTGGCGATGGTTCCAGGTTGGAAAGTCCAGTGCAAAGCATCTCGAATCATTGGCATTTTGATTGATAAGTTGTACCCTCCAGTGAATTACTGTAACAGTTCGACCCTGAAAATGGTCAATGTTCAGTGGAAAGCAATCTTCCAGACCTATTTGGCAGGGGTCTATACTAACTTGGGGATGGTAACTGTTGCTGGGATGCTAAGATGCTCCCATTGAAATCATTCAGACTGGGCAAAAGCACCGTGCAGAGTACCGTTTCGAGGGTTTTAGATACACTGTGGTGAATATCATAAGATCATAATGTATCATATAGTATCATATAGTATCATATAATGTCATATAATATCATATAATATCATATAATCTCAAATCATATAATATCATATAATATGATATTACATCATTTTACATCATATTGTATCATATTATATCATTAATATCATGTATTCTTATGTATTGTCATGTATTATCATATATTATCATATATTATCATATATGATCATATATTATCATATATTATTATATATTAAAATATATTATCATACATTATCATATATTATCATATATTATCATGGTTTATTTTTTATTATCATATATTATCATATATTACCATTTATTATCATATATTATCATATATTGTCATATAATATCATATAATATCATATAGTATCATATAATATCATATAATATCATTTGTTATCATATATATATATATATATTGTCATATATTATCATATATTATCATATGTGATCGTCTATTATCGTTTATGATCATATGATAGCATATCACATGTGGCATTTCATGCAATCATATCATAAGTTTTATATACTGTATCAATATATAGATATCATAGATAAGTTATATATATATATACACCTACTGTATATATGCATACGTATAATGCAGCATAGACATTTTAAATCTCTGATGTCCATCCCTGTGATGACCGGGGCGTCATGTCATGGATGTGACGCTACGGCTTTTTTGTGCAATGTTTTCCTGTGCGAAACGCTAGAAACGTGCAATGAAGTACCTTAAACATTCTTAAACTATAGAAGGTGCATTTGTGTTCAAAAGATCTATATATTATTATATAGAAATATCATGTGTTGGTGCAAGAATTGAAATCCTTGGATATTTCAAGCCATCTTTGTTTCAGCAAAAACCTGTAGTGAACCTTGATCTGCAGGCTAGTCCCGAGGAGTTGGTGAAAGCTAAGGCGGGATCCGTCGAGCAACTGGTGGCACATGTTTCAGTATGGTTCCGCAATCTGCTGTTGGTTAATATTATGTATACTGCATATATATATATATATATATAATGCTTATTTGATTTTGACTATGTCTATTTGTATATTCCATACTTGCATTCATTGCAAGTCGTCAATTTATTGCTTATTGTCAACCCAGGATTAATTAGTAGATTTCCCCAGTGGGGTAGTTGTGAATCCGCAATTTGACATGACTATTCATTGGACACTGCTTGTCCATCATATTGCAATTGTGTATCAGTTTCTGTTCAATCCTTTATTCCAATGGATTTTTGCATATATCCCAATTGGACCCCAGAAACATGGGTTAGCAATATGGCTTATGGCTAATATTCTCCAATAATGGTTGATTTATATGGTTAATGCCGCTATGGGGTATGTGAAAAATATCCATTATTAGTTTGCAAGGTTGTAACCTTTTCAGCTACTCAGCGTACTGGTTCGTATCAGCGTTAAAAAAAAAAACAGGTCGGGACACGCATTGCCAGCACTCGACATCTTGTGCTGCATGATCCCAATCATATTCCCATGACACGGCAGATGTCCTTGCCGGGCTCCTGGCTGTGCTGCCCATTACCGCACCTTGAGAAGGCGGCGATTGGATGGTGGTGCAAACTCCCCCTTTGTTGGGTGAAAAATTGCAATCTCCGGGAATTTCAGGAATTTCCATTTTATACAATACATACATGCTATATACATGCAAGGTAGGTCGCCCTTCATAGCAAAAATGGTTTATAAGAAGGTTACTGTAACTAATCAACCAGAGTCTATGGCATGGTAGATAGATATATCTATTCATGGTCTTTACAATCCAACTTGAAACTAGAGTTCACCACCTTGTATACATATATACAGTTATATACATACGTACGCACGTACATACATACATACATACAAACACACACACATACATACATACATACATACATACATACATACATACATACATACATACATACATACATACATACATACATACATACATACATACACATATACACATACACATACACATACACATACACATACACATACACATACACATACATACATATACATACATATACATACATATACATAGATATACATACATATATATGTACATACATATACATACATATACATAGATATACATACATACACAGACATATACAGACATATACATACATATACATACATATACATACATATACATACATATACATACATATACATACATATACATACATATACATACATATACATACATTTACATACATTTACATACATTTACATACATATACATAGATACATATACATAGATATACATAGATAGACATAGATATACATAGATATACATACATATACATACATGTGCATAAATATGTGTACATATTCGTACATATACATACATATACATACATATACATACAGATACATGCACATACATGCACATACATGCACATACATGCACATACATGCACATACATGCACATACATGCACACACACATACATACACACATACACACATACACACTTGCTTACAGACAGACAGACAGACAGACAGACAGACAGACACAGAGACACAGAGACACAGAGACAGAGACAGAGAGACAGAGAGGGGGGGAGAGACAGAGACAGAGACAGAGACATACATACATACAACTCTGCTGGGGATTTCAACTCCATAGCCTTTTGGCACGGCCTTCCCCAACTGACAGAGCCTAAGTTTGATGCATTTTATTTTGGTATGGCTCCATGTTTCAGACTGAATGATGTGCAGATTTTGGAAGATGGTTGTTTATTGTTACTCCATTGTTACTCCAGATTTTGGAAGATGGTGGTTTATTCTTACTCCGTAAAACAAAAAAAACGTGTAGTTTTAAGGATATTTAAGGCACATAAATCCATGTCTACGCATCCCGGACCCATCCCGGCATAGAGATTCGGCCTTCGCCAGGTATGCAACGGTGCTGAGAAGCGCCTGCGTCACTTAGCTCCAGTGCCGATGGTTGGGGGTTGTACCATCGTACTGGGGGAAGCCAGTCATATATATATACATACATATATATATATGGTTTCCATAAATGGGGGTACCCCAAAATGGAAGGTTTATAAAGGAAAATCCTATTGAAATCGATGATTTAGGGGTACCCCTATTTCAGAAGACAATTATATATATATATATATATATATATATATTTTTGGGTTACTCGTAGTAATGTAAAACAATAGTTATATAGGAAAATGTTGGAACGCCAATTTATTACTAATCTTAGATTGTGGGATTCCAAAATGATCCTACGATTTGGCATAAATCCTCACCGGATCATCCATTGGGCCGGCGGTGCCTCCAACTCAGCCAGCGGAACAGGGACATCCTGTGCCCGAGAACATGGCCAACGCCGCGCCTGGGGGCGAGTTGGAGATCTTGGTGACGAAGGTGTTCTAGGCCTCGACATTCGTGCACCATGCTTTACCTCAAAGTCTGAACTGGTCAGAACCAAGAGAGCTACGCAGCCTGGTTCCCCGGCTGGACGCCATTTTCCGTGTTGCAGTGGCGGTGCCTTGGGCCCTTGGGCCCCTTGGGCCTCAGCTTCGGCACTAGTGAACCCCGCTGGGATTTATGGATGTTCATCCCACTAAAATTGCTAGTAATGGGTTTTGACCCACCCCCATATGATGGCTATCATTCAAATGTTGTTTGTCTCCAGCTAGTTTATCATCAGACAGTGAAGTTTCGCAAAAAAAATGGGTACCCAATTTCGAACCAAGAAATTTTGAGATGTTAATTATTTAGATGGCCCAGTCCAATGATCACCAGGATGATTTTTTTGAATTCTGTATCCAGCTGTCTCAAAATATCAAACTGAATCTATTGCTACACAAAGTATCAATCAAGCTAGTTCATCAAGATGTCAAGCCCCAGTTCTCGAGTTTCATCCTGAAATGTCACGGCTTTTTCTTTGCAGGAAACGAGATGGTAATGGAAAATGCATCCCTATTTTTCATGGGGCAAATCACCTGATGGATTGTTCAGCCGTCCTCGCAGTGCCAGCTTCCAATGATGATGGGTATATTTATGGTAGGGTCATATCCTATATATGTGTTTCGGTACATTGTTGATATTAAAAGTACGTATTGATAAGCACATTCATGTGCATCTGGGGATGAGACCCAATCTGCCTGAGGTTTGGTGGTCATCACCTCCCAAGATGAGTGCGCCGGGAAGGAAGATGAAGTCGTGGAAAAGTCATCGATTTGTAGAATGGAGTTTGGATCTGGAGAATGTCTGGGTGTGTTTGTTTCCAGATAAAGCGGTGAAGTTTACAAGTCATTTTTTCATAGGATAAGTTACTACAGAGTAACATATATAGTATAGCAACATGTACTGTAATGGAAACACTCAAGATCTACATGGCAAGTAAACACTGCTTGCTCTGTGGATTTAACCACCCATTTGGTGCCCCAGTGAATGTTTGTTGGTAAAGGCACCCCCATGAATTATACATTAGTTTGATGCATCTACCAAGAAAACCCATCGTTTTTGGTATAGAAAACCAACTTCGCGTTCACCATGCCAGCACCTTGCAAGCCCGATGATTATTACTTGCTAACCCTATCCATATCATATCATACCGTACATTTGATGGTTTGAAACCACCAAAGAGATGATCATTAAACACCATTTCTATACATTTATAACGTACCCTTTGCTGATTAAACAACAGTTGATTAAACATACCCTTCGCTTCCAACCTTAAAAGCATCGGAGGTTTGATGAGACCTGTTACACAGACCCTGGCGTGGATGTGTCCACCGCACCCTTGGCTTGTCCAGGATTTCCAGGGATTATGGTCTTTTTAAGAGATGCCACGGGGATATAATGTAATGTGTCCATTGCAGATAAGGTATATCATAGTATATCTAAAAATATATGATTGCATGATATATAACGTGTTTTTTGCCCATTGCATGGGGAGTGTGGTGATTGACGGGCAGTTTTTTTGGATTGCTGGTCTAGCCGAGGTCCATTGTTCGCGCAGTAGAAACTTGTTTTCTTTTCCGATTTACCCACAGGGATTGTAACCACCAATCACTTCGGTGTGTGATGTTCCGAAGATCTTGAGACTTTGTTTCGATGTCCCCAGGATCAATTTGACCGTGCATGAGATGTTTCTGGTTTGTTTCCCCTCCACCTCTAAGAGCCTATCGACCATGAAAATCCAACGATTTATACAGTTATACACCCATTTGGGTATGGATCAATACCTATTAATACCATTTTTAATGGGATGAACATCCATTTACCAGCTATTTGATGTTCACCAGGGGTACAAGGTTTTGACACACTGCCAAATTTGAAAATCCAACGAACTACACTAACCCATTGAATCCCAGCGCGGCCAAGCGCTGCAAAGCGTCCACAGCCTCCGCACCAGTCCGGCAACGGACGGAAGCTGGCCACGCACGCCATGCTGCGAAGCAGCTTGACCGCACTGACCCGTTGGGCTTTGACCATGGGTTCTGTGTCCATAGAGATTGGCCATCCATTTAATGGAGATGTATATTATATACGTGATTATACGTGTATACATATATATATAGGGTTTGTCTGAAAATAGGGTACCCCAAAAGCCAATGGATTGTCAATGATTATCATGATTATTCCTATTAAAATTGCCATTTATATGGGTTTCCCAATTTTCAGACACACCCATACAGTACGCGCGTTCTGTCTGGATTCCCGATATGAGACGGATGACAATAACCAAGACATGGCGCCTGTTTGGACCATGGCACATATTCACTGAAAGTGGGATCCATCTTTCCAAGCACCAGTTTGCATTTGTCGTGTTTCACTAGGCCACTAGGCATGTTCATTGGTGGCTATCACCCTGGGTGGCATCATTATCCGCATCTTTCTGTGATGATCCTCCAGGTGTTATTTCCCCAGGGGAAATGGAAACAGTTGATGGGAGCCCTTCGTTGCAATCCTGATGAAGTAGTATTAACTACACACAGATATATATATATATAATGTACCAATTCCATAACATGAATTGCCCATCAGTAGTAGCTTGCTATTGTTGTTCATACTCCCGTACTCTACAAAACACCCATAGCCAGTGGGCCCAGATCCAGGTCTATTGGAAGAGTCCTTCAAGGCATGCTGTGTTTTTTAACGTGTGATTCGTTGATTTAAGGGCGAAATTGGCAGAACAACTCTTGGTTATTCTTTCTTTCTCAACATGAAAATGGATGATGAAGGTGAAGGACTTGATGTCATTCGAGGTGCCGGATTTGTTTTTGTTTGTTCGACCTCAACGTAGTCCCGGAGACGTTGTGGGACGTGTGGACTGATATCCATATCATGGATGGATGGGATGAAGAATGATAGATCATCCATACCGGTTGTTAATGCTCATGACTCATTATTGTTAATATATAACTTGTGAGTTCATTAATTGATAATTCACACCATCAATAGATTCATCCCATCCATTGATAACTCATAATTGATGGGACGAATTATCAATGTGAATGGTCAATGTGAATGGTAATTGCAAGCCATGACAGCCTGGATGTTCGCAAAAGGAGGTAGGTCACACCATGTCACGGAGTCCCCCTAGATGGGTAACGTTGGTTTACAAGAATATCAAGTGGGAGGTATAACAGATCTAAGTAATTCTGTATATATTATATATATTATATTATATATTATATATAATTATATCCATAATTATATCCATATTTATAAACATACGTACATAATATATATATATAGTATTCTATAGTTGCGTTGAATGATGCACCAACAAATATGAGTCGGCTGCATGCTGCATACCTGACATGCTCTCCATGTTTTTTCCATTTTGGATGTGTCGATACTGTACCCCATGCCATCCACAGGTCAATCATGATTTTCCATAGCAAATAGTTCTGGTTGGTGAATATAGCCCTTAATCTTCCTATTTTCCTATCAGGTCCCATGAAATCACCGATGGTTCATGGTTAAATTCCAATTAAGTCACAGTGAGTAACAGTAAATGCCCATTAAATCACATTAACTCCCCATTTCAGACAAGCCCCCAGCTGCAATCTTTCCGTCATGAGTAGCTCGCAGGGATCCATCGTGGTGTCCTGCATCCTGATCTTGGACTTTCAAGCCCTAGCCACAGGCAACCGTTGGCAACGGGAGACCCAGTTGGATCAATCGTGGCTTGAAAAATCTTAGAATTAACAATTTAACCATATGAACCATTGGTGATTGTTTTATTTTTTAATGGGATTTTGAGGAATATTAAGGGATTTGTTTGAACCAAACCACTGGCTTGGAAAATCGGTGTCCCTATTAGATGGCCAGTTTGGGGTAATCACCATGGTAGCGGTGGGAATTAAACCCCGGAACTCAATGGGCCATGGCTTCCGTAGCTATATTGAATCACCGGAAGGCATCATTGTTGTTTTTTTAAACCATACTATTATATACATACTGGGATAGCAATTCTATAGTTAGCCATAATAATATCTGACCATAGGAAACTGTGTAGTTGGGCAAAAGGGTACAGGCATAACCCACAAACAAACATCTGCCGGGTCAAAGTGGGTGTCCAGGGGGGGGCACGTCCAAGTATAAAACCCAAACGTGCCCCCATTCCTCAATAGTCTGTTGAATATCCTTGTTGCCGGCAGTCGGATTTACTTCAAGTACTGGCCAATTTTGGGAACTTACCAACTATACACTGGTAGGACGAAAGTTGCGCTTGTTGAGCTTCCGGCAGTGAACATGTTTTGTTTTTTCTTCTGCACACCCTTTCCTGTTAGAATCCTAGCATGGAGCTTTGTCGTACCCCGGTCGAATTTCCACCCTCCAAAAGCTTTTAATCTTATAGATTTAAAAGCGGGTGATAATTGACCGTCCCACACCTGCCACACGAAATGGACTTGGAAATGTGATCCGCGGTTGACCGAGATGGATGCTTTGTCAAGCTGTCAAGAAGCATAAACTTTGTTCCTCCTGAAGGGTAAAAAAAGCTTATTCAGTGGGAATTGTCAAGTCAGCTGCTGCTTGTTGCACGTGCTTCAGCTTGGTCATCATACTCCACATAAAATATCTGCATCCTCTGGTTTCAAAGCCTTTCTGTGCAGCGCCTTTGCATTGTTGCCATGGCGTCTCATTTGCAACTCTGTTCGATTGAGGATTTTGGGAAACGTCCATACTCTTTTCTGCAATGCTACACCTGTGCCGTGACGCAGGGTAAAAAAAGCTTATTCAGTGGGAATTGTCAAGTCAGCTGCTGCTTGTTGCACGTGCTTCAGCTTGGTCATCATACTCCACATAAAATATCTGCATCCTCTGGTTTCAATGCCTTTCTGTGCAGCACCCTTGCCTTCTTCATTGTTGCCATGGCGTCTCATTTGCAACTCTGTTCGATTGAGGGTTTTGGGAAACGTCCATACTCTTTTCTGCAATGCTACACCTGTGCCGTGACGCAGGGTAAAAAAAGCTTATTCAGTGGGAATTGTCAAGTCGGCTGCTGCTTGTTGCACGTGCTTCAGCTTGGTCATCATACTCCACATAAAATATCTGCATCTTCTGGTTTTGCCTTTCTGTGCAGCACCCTTGCCTTCTTCATTGTTGCCATGGCGTCTCATTTGCAACTCTGTTCGATTGAGGGTTTTGGGAAACGTCCATACTCTTTTCTGCAATGCTACACCTGTGCCGTGACGCAGGGTAAAAAAAGCTTATTCAGTGGGAATTGTCAAGTCGGCTGCTGCTTGTTGCACGTGCTTCAGCTTGGTCATCATACTCCACATAAAATATCTGCATCCTCTGGTTTTGCCTTTCTGTGCAGCACCCTTGCCTTCTTCATTGTTGCCATGGCGTCTCATTTGCAACTCTGTTCGATTGAGGGTTTTGGGAAACGTCCATACTCTTTTCTGCAATGCTACACCTGTGCCGTGACGCACTGGTAGGACGAAAGTTGCGCTTGTTGAGCTTCCGGCAGTGAACATGTTTTGTTTTTTCTTCTGCACACCCTTTCCTGTTAGAATCCTAGCATGGAGCTTTGTCGTACCCCGGTCGAATTTCCACCCTCCAAAAGCTTTTAATCTTATAGATTTAAAAGCGGGTGATAATTGACCGTCCCACACCTGCCACACGAAATGGACTTGGAAATGTGATCCGCGGTTGACCGAGATGGATGCTTTGTCAAGCTGTCAAGAAGCATAAACTTTGTTCCTCCTGAAGTATACTGTACTGTAACTCATTTTCAAGATCTTGTTTGCCGGTTGAGACCTCCTAAACTGTTACTGCTGCGTGACACCAACTAGGAATTTTGCCCATGTTCTGTTCACATGAACACATTTTTGGGATTTTTTGGGGGTGGTCATACAGATCAATTGTGGCTTAACTTTAGGTCTTTGTTGTTCCTAGAGTTGGTCGATTGAATTCTGACTCAGATTCAATGTTACTGTATTGATTTCCCGACTCTGTTTGGCATTGTCATCAGGTGTTGCCACTCCGATTGGATTACAAGTCTTGCTGTGTTCTATCCTTCTTTTGCCATGTACCAGAACATGTTTTGATGTGATACAGATACACATATTATAGTCATGTATATATATATATACATATATTCAATATATATATGTTATATATATATAACATGTACCCTCACCAAAAAAATGCCCAAGGCAAATGTAGCTAAACCAACCAGGGGAGTCCCTGCTGCGCTGCCGCGCGCCGCTGCCGGTGGAGGGACCGCAGATCATGCAGGCGATGGTCGGGGGATGCCGAGGATGCCCTGAACGAAACCATGGGAAAAGCATGGGAAAACCATCGGAAAGTGGTGATTTGGCTAAGAAACATAGGGGATTTCATGGGATTTGTGAGTGTAAATGTTATTTCTAAGTGGGGGAACTTGTTAAACATAACTATAGTCCATTATAGTCCCCTCTTTTAAACTAAGATGTGTCTCAAGTCACCAATTGTAGAGGAGGATCCTCCAAGCACCTAACCTCTAGAGGGTGGAGCCGCAGGTCGTTTTCCCCGCTACGTTGGTTCACGAAATTTATCAGGCCTATGTACACCCTACATAGATGGGATGGGAGGATGGGATTATACATATATATATATATTACTAGATGATTGTCAGTATAACTATATTTAGATTGCATTATGGTCATTGTAACCTGATTTAGCGTCATTATAGACCAACAAATTTAAACGTTGGGGGACGATTTTGACCTTGTGGAAGAGATTCCATCTTCACAATCCCATGATATCCCCATTATACCACTATGTTTGTTGGTGAACTCCTCATCTCTGGAGAAGGATCCGCCAAGTCTTCCTCCTAGCTCATGCTTGAGGTCCACATTCAGCATTTCGGTGTGGTGGAGGTTTGCCGAGGTGTCTGCACTGGCGTTGACTTTTGGTGGGAATTGGGTACCTTATAAATATAAATTCTACCGTTTTTTATGACGGGTGCCCCACAAAACCATCATTTTATACACGGCCCCTTTTTTCTGGGGCTATAAAATGACTAACATGGGTTATCTCCTCAGGAGAAAAGTGGGGGCGGGGTCAGCATATAAAACAATGATTTGTAGTTTTGTTTACTACATTTTTGCGTTATAAAATCATGGTTCCTCTTAAGCCTGTCATGTTAGTATCGATTTGTCATTTAATAAACACTTGGAGAACAACGCCTTATAAAATGATGGTTTGGTAAATCTTGTGATGGAGTGGCCAACACTCATTTTAAAAGACGTTATTAAATTAAATTTGGAAAAACTATCAAACTTTAATAATCGCTATAAATGAGTGAACCGTAATTTTCCAAGCAAAAAAAAATGTAATCAAATCAGCTACTTTGCTAAGTCAGTTGAGGGACATGGTACTTACAACAGTGCCGTGTCGAGGCGGGGTTCCAGATTTTAGCGGAAAACACTTGCCCACATGCGTTACTTTGCAGCATATTGGCCTCCCAGCTTGGTTCCTTTTGCTTTCCATTGGAGTCTTCCTCTGGGTTTCCTTTTCTATCTTTAGACGCGGGTCAGAACAAAACAAACAAATCTGATAATCCAGCGCTGTTTTTTCGAGCAAGGGGGGCGGGCTTTGGAACAAGGGGGGTGGAGATAAGTGTGTAGTGTCACGCATGCGGCCTAACATAATGCAAAGAGATGAGCAGTGTTCTGTGTCAAGAAGAATGGGCTCTTGCCCACTGCAAATGACAGAAACAAAACCTGTTTCAACTCTTTGGGAGCAAGGGCCGAAATCCCAAGTTGTGCTTGCAGGATCCTGCGGTCTTCTGGGTGCTTGTGTGGGCAGCAGTTCTCATCCATTGGCGGCGCAGGGGCCATCCGGAAGGACTGCAGCGCCGTCAAGGCAGACTGTTGCCCCTGCGCTTGGTGTTGGCCTTGCCATGTCCGCAGCCCACGCTGCATAGCCAGCTCGGGGAGGGTGGCTTCGCCACAGTGTGGAGAGGACGTTTGTGCGGCCACGACGTGGCAGTCAAAGTCCTCAAAGAACCCACTGAGCAGAATCTACACATGTTACAGCAAGAGGGGAGGCTGTTGCATGATTGCCGGCACGCTCATGTCTTGCATATCTGGCCTTCTGATCCGGGGAGCCTCTGCACAGAGCTAATGGCGGGGCCTCTACTGAGACCACTAATGGAGGATATTTTCACTTTAGGCACTTAATGGAAATATTAGTACTTATTTGAACTTATCATAGAACTTATTCTAACATATTTTTACTTATTTTTACTTATATTCACTTATTTTTACTTAGTTTAACTTATTGTTACTTATTTTCACTTATTTTTTGATATTTTCAAAGGTTCAGAACTGATAATAGACGAAGGATTTTTCTTTTATACAGTTTGAAAAACACAATTGAATATAAGAAATAAGTAAAAGGTTTTGGCCATTTTAGGAACTATATCCTTTGCCTTGGGGGCCATGGCAGAAGAAGCAGCGGTTCAGCACAGACTAGCTGCTAAAGTATGGCTGCGAGTCATACTATAGATTCTCTCATAGCTGCTTGTAATGATTGTGAAGTAAAATATGTTGGAAAATCCAATATATATATATAACAAAAAACATTTAGAAACTCAAGATGTTGAAACGATAATTCCTGAAAAGGATGTAGGTAGTTCCTGAAATGGAAAGTTTCAGCAATGAATCTTTCAGGTTGAATGTAGCTTCCTCAGAGGAATGCGTTTTCCTTTTTTAAAATTATAAATTTACTGAATTCTAAATTATCTAAATTTTTGAACTTTTGTAATTATTTGGAATTGTAAGTTATCAAAAGTTTCTGGATTCTATTTTTTTTTGATTTTATGATTTTTCTGGATTCTATTTTTTTTGATTTTCTGAATTTTCTGGATTATGATTTTTCTATTTTTTCTAGATTCTATTTCTTTTTTGTTTTCTACATTTTCTGCATTCTAACTTGTTTTGGCTAGATTTTCTGAATTCTATTTTTTTTTTGATTTTCTAAAATTTCTAGATTCTATTTTCTTTTTGATTTTCTAAATTGTCTGAAGTCTATTTTTTTGATTTTCTGAATTTTCTGGATTCTTAATTTTCTAAATTTCTAGATTCTTTGCTTTTTTGATTTTATAATTTTTCTGGATTCTAACTTTTTCGGATTGTCCAAATTTTCTGGATTTTGTTTTTTAAGAATTTTCTGGATCCTATTTTTTTTGGATTCTCTAAATTTTATGGATTCTGAATTTTCTAATTTTTCTAGATTCTATTTTTCTTTGGTTTTCTAAATTTTCTGGATTCTAACTTTTTTGGGTTTTCTATTTTTTTGGGATTCTATTTTTTCAGGTTTTCTAAATTTTCTAGATTTTTTTTTGATCTTCTAAATTTTCTGGATTCTATGTTTTTTTATTTTCTGATTTTATCTGAATTCTGAATTTTCTGAATTATATACAGTAACGACATTTAAATATGTGGAGGGCAGGCCAGACCGCGAGGCCACGGAGGTAATATGAAATACCAGTTCGTATATTTAAATGTAGTTACGGTATGTTTAAATGAATTGGATTCCGTATGTTTAAATGGCTGGACGGGCCAAGGAAAACCTTCTCGGAGGTAGTCTAAAATACCTGTTCATATATTTAAAAATCCGTATATTTAAATGTAGTTACCGTATATTTAAATATATATATATATAGAATTCTGAATTTTCTGAATTTTCTGAATTTTCTGGATTCTGATTTTTCTAATTTTCTTGATTCCATTGTTTTTGTTTCTAAATTTTCTGGACCCTTTTTTTATTTTCTGACTTGTCTGGATTCTATGTTTTTTGCTTTAATAAATTGTCTGGATTCTATGCTTTTTAGATTTCTGAATTTGACGGATTCTGAATGTTCTAAAAATTTTCTAGATTCCATTTTTTTTTGCTTTCTAAATTTTCTGGAATCTATTTTTTTAAAGATTTTCTGAATTTTCTGGATTCTGGATTTTCTATTTTTTCCAGATTCTATTTTTTTTTGGTTTTCTATTTTTTCTGGATTTTGAATTTTCTAAAGTTTCTGGGTTCTATTTTTTTCCATTCTCTGAATTTTCTGGATTCTATGCTTTTTTTGTTTTCTGAATTTTATGGATTCTTTTTTTTCCTTCTATAAAGTTTCTGTTTTTTTGGGGGGCATTTCCTGAATTTTCTGGATTCTGAATTTTCTAAATGTTCTGGACTCTATTTTTTTTTGGAGTTTATGTTTTTTTTGGATTCTGAATTTTCTCCTTTTTAGTATTTAAATATTTTCTGATTTTTCTGGATTTTGACTTGTCTGAATTTTCTCAAGTTTGAGTTTTCCTTTTCAAGAACCTGAATTTTCAGAAAACTCCTTTATTCAAGATAAATTAGCTTAAAGTAGGCTCCGTTTCGTTTTGGGACCTTTCCTTTGCTGGAACTTTCCTTTGCAGGATTCCTGAAAAGGATGGCTCCTGTAAAGGAAAGTTCCAGCAAAGGAGAGTTCCTGAAAAGGATGGCTCCTGTAAAGGAAAGTTCCAGCCAAGGAGAGTTCCTGAAAAGGATGGTTCCTGTAAAGGAAAATTCCAGCAAAGGAGGGTTCCTGAAAACTATGGTTCCTGTAGAGGAAAGCTCCAGCAAAGGAGAATGCCTGAAAACCATGATTCCTGTAAAGGAAAGTTCCAGTAAAGGAGAGTTCCTGAAAAGGATGGTTCCTGTAAAGGAAAGTTCCAGCAAAGGAGAGTTCCTGAAAAGGATGGTATCTCCTTTGATGGAACTTTCCCTTACAGGAACCATAGTTTTCAGGTATCTATTTCTCCAACTATTCCTGGGCAGCAACTTCGAAATGAAAACAAAACAAAAAAAAAGATTTCCAGCTATTTTCAGCTATTTTCAGATATTTTCAAATATTTTCAGATATTTTTCACTAATATTCGACTATATTTAAATATATCTTCATTATTATGTAATAAATTCAAGTAAAAAAATAGTGAAACTTAACTCAAAACAATAAAAAATCAATTAAACAAGATATTAGCAAGATACTAGCAACTTATAAGATACTTATAAGCTTGTTAAGTGCCTAAAGTGAAAATTTCTTCCATTAGTGGTCTCAGTATCCTATGCACAAGTGCTGAACGGCCTCATGCCTGCTCCCGTGTTGGCACGCTTGTGCAAGGAAGTGTTGGAGGCCATTGCCCATCTCCATAGCCTCAGAGTTGTCCACGGCGATGTGAAGCCGGACAACATCCTTGTGTCAAGTTTTGACTTTGCATTTTGCGCCAAGCTGGGTGACTTTGGCCTGGCAGAGCACTTGGAGCCTGGTGGAACGCTCACAGCCTGGCAAGGCACTCCGGGTTTCATAGCCCCAGAAATGTATTTACTGCGGGGCCAAGGCACCCCAGTTGATGTTTGGGCACTGGGCGTGACGGGCTACTGTTTGCTCTACGATGCCATGCCATGGAACATGAAGGAGGAACTCAAACCTCAAATCGAACGCCAGCCCATTGTGCCTGAGCCCTAGCACGTCTCGCATGCACAAACATGTCTTGGGATGTTGTGGCTTGCTTCCACAGGCATTAGCAGACAGTGAGGTTACATCAACGAAATAATATATAGTAAATAATCAGCCCGTGTCATTCCCCATCGGCTCCAAGTCTTAACATGGCCGCGCGTTTGCCAAATCTGGCAGGTAAGTGACAGGCCCAAGTCCTTAGCCGCATGAGATTCCACTCAGGCGCCCTCGGCTTGGCAAACAGTACAGATCGCTGCGCCAGTGCATCGTGACCATGCTGGAGTGGAAGCCGGGTCGACGAGTCACTGCGTTTGGTGCCCTGCCTCATCCCTGCTTCAAAGCAAGCGCAAGCTGCACAGCATGACGGAAAAATTGTTTATGGCGCTGGGGGTTGGTCCTCTTTCAATTGGCTGCCCCTGAAACTGGACGAAACTGGACGAAAACTAGATGACTCCATGCTTCATGCAGGTCTCAGACCCAATGACTGCAAATGAAACCTGCCGAGTTTGAACAACCATATAGGGTTTACACGTGTTTACAAGTTCCAAGGATGACAGTTCAATTTGTTCGCCGCGGCGGCAGGCGTTTGACTCCATCCGTCTTGGTCATCGACATGCATCGGCGGAGGATCTGTTGATCTTCGGCGCGGGTAATCCCTGCCTTCAGGTCCCAGGATGACGGGAAAGGTTTCATTGGTGTTGCGTTTTATTTTGTATTCACCTCACCTGCACACATGTGAGTCTAAATTTAAATACCAATGCATGCCTGTGTGCATGTATACATTGCATGTATCTGTGCACATGCATGTGTGCAATACATGTGTGCACATGTACCGCATGTGTCATCATGCGGCTGTACACTGTACACTTCTAAAAGAATGTGCGTGCACAGATCGCGAGGTCAAGTGACGTGAGGCCATGGCTTCGGGATGGTTTTGATCACCGCCACGCCAGATGTTGACGCGGCTGTCCTGGCAGCCCCAAACTGCAGATGTTTACATGGGGGGTTGTGTGCAATTGAAGGCAACGCGGTCAAATTCATTCAAGGACTCATGCCTTCACGCAGCGGAGACGCCACATTTGGTGACAGGGATGTGGCTTGACGGGCATGAACAGAGCTCATGGTCATTTTCCAGCGCTTTTTTGGGTCCTGTCACCACAACTAAGGGAACGGCGGGATGGTGATGAAGAGGAGGAGGGTGAAGATGACACCAACGACGGCGACCAGGATGAGGATGATGATGATGATGACAATGACTGTGATGACTGTCATGACTGTGATGACTGTGGTGACTGTGGTGACTGTGATGACTGTGATGACTGTGATGACTGTGATGACGGTGATTACGGTGATTACGACTGTGATGAGGGGGCGGCGATTCTGGCAGGATCATGCAGACACATAGGCAGGGTCGAACCACTAGTCAAGTTGGTGTTTACGAGCCAGCCAAACCAATGTTCCGCGGTACATGGCCATTCTCACCAAGCAGCTGCCCCATGGCTGCCTCAAAAGCACTGAGCGTCAGGGAGATTGCAGACCTGTGGCAAGCTTCCCAGGATTGAGACTGCTGGCTATGCGTTGAATTTCCGTTTCACCTTGAGGACTATGCATGAGGCCGGGTGGACGACGAAAACTTAAACGCTGGACATGTTGAATGTCACTGCATGCAATGAAGTGTTTACTACACTTGGGGTGCAGGCATTCGCCAAGTTAGAGGTAAACGACGAACATCCAAAGTAAATGTCGGTGCTTCTTGTATATGACTGCCATGTGCAGTGATTAGAGATCCTTGTAATCATCGCGATCGTTCCCAGCACCAATTTTATCCTCAACATCACGGAAAGACTCTTCACCAGCAACTTCAGCGTGAAAACCGTGACCGTCAGAGGTTGCAAGTTGAAAAAAATGGCAACGCCACAAAAGTCATTACTTTGGCATTTTTGGCATCTTTGGCTTCAGCGAAGGCCTTGAGCAGCTACATAAATGCATGTGCCAAGTCAAACACTCTCGGGTCGCACATGGCACGAAACATGTTTGCTCAAAGTACTTGCCGCCACTCAACTGTTGCCATGAAGTGGGTGCCAAAGCATCAGGCATGCAGTCATTTAGCTTTTTCCCGAGAGCGCCTGCGAAGGGTTCTTCGTAAAAAAGCAGCCGTTGTAATACACCTGCAGATCTATATCTTGACACCTTCACATCTGCAGATCTACATCTTCACACCTTCACATCTGCAGATCTTCTCTCTCTCTCTTCCTTTCTCTCGCTCTTCTTTCTATCTCTCTCTTAAGGCGCCGCCGGAGTGCCACGAAACGTGACAGGCGCAGCATTTCGTGCACATCGGACGTCCAAAACCTAGGTAAACTTGCGATTTTGAGGAATCCATCGCAACCCTTTTGCACGAAATGGACGTTGAACGTCAAAAACTGAGGTAAAATTGCGATTTTGAGGTGTCCATCGCAACCCTTTCGCACGAAATGGAACGTACCCCCACGACTGGCCCCGTAGAAGAATGATAAAATCTATTTGGCAATGAAAACCAATTGAATTAGGTGGTGTTCCTCAAAAAATGGATGAATCTTCCCCTTGGGACTTATATTCTATGTATGTAGTTCTGCAAAGAAGTGAGTCTCTTACATGTATAAGGGTGTGTATGACAACGGGGGGGGGGTGCATAAAAGCAAAATTGTATACAAAAATGTTGGGAGTGTTCGCATCAAAAATGGTATTAAAAAATGTTGGGAGTGTTCCCATGAAAGTTGGTTGGGTCAGCAAATACGATACATCCATGGTTCAATGTCTGTGATTTGTTTGTTCTGGGGTCGGCGGCAGGGACGGCTGCCCTTAAGGACATGAGGTGTAAGTTTGATGTAAGTTTGCATCAAAGTTCCATTTTTTGAGGTGCAATTTTACATCAAATTTACACTCACTAACACTAAACTTACACATCATAGGTATAAGTTTACATCAAACTTACATGTCAACACTGTAAATTTATATCAAACTTACACGCAAAAGTGTAAGTTTATACTTGTAAGTGTAAGTTTTGCGTAAACTACAGGTAGACAGATAGACAGACAGACAGACAGATAGATAGATAGATAGACAGATAGACAGATAGACAGATAGACAGATTAAAGAGAGAGAGAGATAGATAGATAGATAGATAGATAGATACATAGATAGATAGATAGATAGATAGATATATGGATAGATAGATAGATAGATAGATAGATAGATAGGTAGATAGGTATTTAGATGAAAGAGAGAGAGAGAGATAGATCGATAGATAGATAGATACATAGAAGATAGGTTGGTAGGTAGGTAGATAGTCAGAGAAAGAGAGAGAAAGAGAGGAGACCTCAAGCACCTTTCGGTCCATCAGTGGCTTCTCTCTGCCATCCCTGATACACAACAACCAATCTGTCCTATAGGTTTCCTATTTTTGAAACTTCCGCAACCGCCTTGTGCGGTACTACTGGTATTTATATGTAGTATTATGCAACTATAAAATGCAATAGTGTCATATCATCCTTACCACAAAGTACGATTATCATTTTATATTCATTTTATATCAGGCAGGCCGCCCAGGGTTATAAAAGACAGTATGACTTGCATTTGGCATTTCATAAGGCCCAAACTGGTGCAGGTAGTAAGTATTTTTTTGTTTCTTATTTTATGCTTATTGTTGCAGCTGAGACCCTGAGACACTATTTGCCATTTTATAATGTTTCAAAAGCTTATTGCATGCGTGCAAGATTCATGTTCGCTCTTATTGATTATCCATTATATAAGGTACATTTACTTTGCAAATCTTTGCAATATAAAGAAATTCTTTTGAAAATTATAGGTGTTACCAGCACAAACTGAGAGAAACATACCCGGAGAAATCAGGTTTGCACAGGTTTTGTTCTTATAAGATGCCCTGGAGGTGCCTTATAAAATGACTCCCTTCTCGGGGACACCAAATTAGTAGAATTTCCACTCCCGCTTCATAGGTCAGGATGCCGGGACGCCGTAAGAGATGTTCATGCTGATTTTGGATGATTTTGGAAACTGGGAGTCGCATTTTATAAGCCGTTATTCTTTGCTAAATCCATTGCCATATATTGCTGTAGGTCCTGCAATTGCCATTTTGTAAACTTTGGTGTGGTGCATTTGTCATTTTATAATGGAAAGAATGGGGGGTTCTCAAAAATATTGGCGCCACCCGGGTCAGACACTTAATTTTAAGGGTGATTATGATTATATATATATATATATATTTGCCAGGGCCAACTTGGGAATCATGGGGGAATAAAGCAACAATTTATTCATGTGTTCCTAGTTTGTGATGGGGATATCTTGACAGAATCAGTTTGTTTTTGCAAGGTACCCGGTATCATATCTAGGCATGTATTGATAAACGTCCGGGCTTCAGGAACCGCAGATATGCATGATTTTGAATAGTCAACTGTCAAAAAGTTTCCTATTTGGGGGAATGCAAAGTGTTTGTTTCATGATTTCTGTGATTTTTATTTCACATATCTTGGAACCCAAAATCTCAGTACGTCGCATTGCTTCAGGAGAGAACTCGTGACGTGGTTGTTTTTGCAAACTTACTTGGGATGATCATTCCAGTTTACTGTCCTGTCCCATGCTTCCGATTTTGGTCGGCTCCCTCAGATGTTAATCCATGTTGCCCTCTGGTAGACCAATAAAAACGCTATGGAAGCCATGGCCCATTTACAGTGCATTTACCTGTAAACATGGTGATTTTCCATAGCTATATGTTAGATATGTTAGTTTACCAGAGGATATATCCTCATTTCGAATGGGTTTAGCCCCCCCCCGGTGACCATCACTTCCCCAGCGACGTGCACGGAGGAGACTTCGAGCAGCTTTTGGTGGCAGGCACCATGCGCGGATCGGGTTAGGGTTCCTATAGAGTGATTATAATTACAATCATCATCCTGAAAGAATGAAGATTATAGCTTTATATGTTCTTTTCTTTACCTTTGCTAACTATGTCTATGGTTATTTCTGTGGGATTATACCACAAATGGGGTTAGTTCACTGACTTATAACTTGTAGTATAATAAAGGGCCATAACTATTTTATAGTGAATTTCCGTACTATTTTTTATTCTTTTATCGTATCTATAGTGGGACTGGATGATTGGGAATTTGTGGATTCATGCGCTCTTATACTGTTTGGATGAAATGTACCTCACTGCGACGTCACTGGAATGATGGAAATTGGATTGCAATGACAATCCTAACATAGCCTTGTTTTAGTTTGGTGATGTTTAAAAAATATATTTGGATATGTCATCATATTTCATGATATATGGCAAGTTAACAAAACACAATACCCCGTTATATCCTCATCTTAGCCCCTAATTTTTGGCGGTTACCCGAGTAAATTGTGGATGATAATTCCAATTGACTTAGTTTGGGGTTGAGACCACCAACCAGCTCCGTTTTTCGAATCTGGGCCAAAATATCGGGATCACCTGCAAAAGAGCGGGGGAAGAGCGGCTGGAAGACTCTGAGATTCGGCATGGCAAGCGTCGAGTGATCTGGACGGTGATTTATGATCCTATCCCGGTCACCAAGCTGAAGGGCCCACTTTGCGACGGCGATAGTGGGGTCGGCTGACTGGTCATTGTGTTTTCGTGTTTTATAGCGTTTTATTTCTTATTTTTGAATGTGTTATAGTGTTTTTGAATGTTTATATGTAATCACTACACACATCGCTACGCACCGTGGAAGTTTTATGATCCCTTTGGAGGAGATGACGTTGGAGGTTGTCATTGAAGAATGCCTTCAAAGGTCCCATTTTGTCATTCTCCAGAGTTCAGAAATTTGGTGCCGAAGCTAAGAAATCAGCAACATCAGCCAAAAACGGAAACGCCACACTCTGTTTCATAGGCCTGTGTCATCGCAGCCCTGTTCCCAGGCAGCGATTTGGAGGCAGAACTGGCGATTTCCACCTCAGTCAGGAAGGGATGAGCTCGCTGTTGGACCGGTACCACTGGCGAAAAACACCTACCCTTCTGGTTATGAACTTTCATGGGCAAAATAATGGGAAATATGGTTTTAATATGGTGTTACCACCATAGCTATGGAAAATATCCACTTTAAATGGGCAAAAATCATGAATCATCTATAAATGGGACATGTTCCATAGCTATATTAAATAACCAGAGGGTAGCTACTATGATGTAAATAAGAGTGGATGATCATTCTTTCCTCCTAAGTTCCAGATGTTTGAAACCCATGATACGTGGCAAGTAGCCATGGTCATAGTTATATATATATATATGTATAATACATATAGTTCCATGTAATATGTGTGTATATGCATGTATTTATTTATATATATATATATTATATGTATACACATGTATACTAACATATATATATATATGCATATGTATATATATAATCACGATCGCCTACATAGAATATGCCCGATTTCAACCCTACGGGTGTGGACAGAGAAAAAAAAACTTAGAATATTTGGGGTAGAAATATTTGGGGTAGAATTTTGGAGTGCATAAACAGTGCCAAAGCAAATACCATAGGAATAACGATATTCCCATATCGAAAACATGTGTGAAACCCAGCAGATTGAACATTTTTTGGGTTCTGGGTAAGTTTTGGATCACGACTGCCAAATTTAAGGCAATCATTGTACCGACAAATGCACAAGCATCAAAGGAAAAAGAAAAGCAAGGTCAGGAACAGAAGAGAATACAAGCGAACACCCTCTTTGCATTAAAAAAATGCGTGTACGTCACCGGTCGTGGAGTGTACCCTTCGGTGAGATTAAAAAACTATTTTTTTAGATGCAATATAAAAACAAATTGGTCATTTCGGGTGACCTGTTTTTTTCGTTGAAACGTTGTAGTTTAGGAACTTCAGACATCCAGGGTTGCTACTCCCCAAAAAGAATTACGTAATATCATATATACCCTCATACATGGAAGAGACCCAATTCCTTGCAGAACTACATACATAGAATATAGGTCCCAAGTGAAAATATTCATCAACTGTTTCAGGAACACCACCCAATTCCATTGGTTTTCATTGCAAAATAGTTTTTTTTTCATAGTTCTACGACACCAGTCGTGGGGGGTACCCTTCGGTGAGCCTGAAAAACTCATTTTTTTAATACAATATAAAAAGAAATTGGTCATTTCGGGGGACCTGTTTTTTTGTTGAAACGTTGTAGTTTAGGAACTTCAGACATCCAGGGTTGCTACTTGCCAAAGGGAATTACGGATATGATATATACCCTTATACATGGAAGAGACCCAATTCCTTGCAGAACTACATACATAGAATATAGGTCCCCAGTGAACATATGAATCATTTTTTTGAGGATCACCACCGAATTCCATTGGTTTTCATTGCAAAATAGTTTTTTTTTCATAGTTCTACGACACCAGTCGTGGGGGGTACCCTTCGGTGAGCCTGAAAAACTCATTTTTTAAATACAATATAAAAAGAAATTGGTCATTTCGGGTGACCTGTTTTTTTGTTGAAACGTTGTAGTTTAGGAACTTCAGACATCCAGGGTTGCTACTCCCCAAAGGGAATTACATATATGATATATACCCTTATACATGAAAGAGACCCAATTCCTTGCAGAACTACATACATAGAATATAGGTCCCCAGTGAACATATTCATCAATTTTTTGAGGATCACCACCCAAATCCATGGGTTTTCATTGCAAAATAGTTTTTTTTTCATAGTTCTACGACACCAGTCGTGGGGGTACCCTTCGGTGAACCTGAAAAACTCATTGTTTTAATACAATATAAAAAGAAATTGATCATTTCGGGGTGCCCGTTTTTTTTTTGAATGTTCTAGTTGAGGAACTTCAGACATCCAGGGTTGCTACTCCCCAAAGGGAATTACGTAATTATATAATGTATACCCTTATAAGGCCTTTATACATGAAAGAGACCCAATTCCTTGCAGAACTACATACATAGAATATAGGTCCCAAGTGAAAATATTCATCAACTGTTTCAGGAACACCACCCAATTCCATTGGTTTTCATTGCAAAATAGTTTTTTTTCATAGTTCTACGACACCAGTCGTGGGGGGTACCCTTCGGTGAGCCTGAAAAATTCATTTTTTTAATACAATATAAAAAAAAATTGGTCATTTCGGGTGACCTGTTTTTTTGTTGAAACGTTCTAGTTTAGGAACTTCAGACATCCAGGGTTGCTACTCCCCAAAGGGGATTACATATATGATATATACCCTTATGCATGAAAGAGACCCAATTCCTTGCAGAACTACATACATAGAATATAGGTCCCCAGTGAACATATTCATCAATTTTTTGAGGATCACCACCCAATTCCATTGGTTTTCATTGCAAAAAAGTTTTTTTTTCATAGTTCTACGACACCAGTCGTGGGGGTACCCTTCGGTGAACCTGAAAAACTCATTTTTTAAATACAATATAAAAAGAAATTGGTCATTTCGGGTGACCTGTGTTTTTGTTGAAACGTTGTAGTTTAGGAACTTCAGACATCCAGGGTTGCTACTCCCCAAAGGGAATTACGTAATTATATAATGTATACCCTTTTAAGGCCTTTATACATGAAAGAGACCCAATTCCTTGCAGAACTACATACATAGAATATAGGTCCCAAGTGAAAATATTCATCAATTTTTTGATGAACACCACCCAATTCCATTGGTTTTCATTGCAAAATAGTTTTTTTTCATAGTTCTACAACACCAGTCGTGGGGGGTACCCTTCGGTGAACCTGAAAAACTCATTGTTTTAATACAATATAAATAAAAAAAATTGGTCATTTCGGGTGACCTGTGTTTTTGTTGAAACGTCGTAGTTTAGGAACTTCAGACATCCAGGGTTGCTACTCCCCAAAGGGAATTACATATATGATATATACCCTTATACATGAAAGAGACCCAATTCCTTGCAGAACTACATACATAGAATATAGGTCCCCAGTGAACATATTCATCATTTTTTTGAGGATCACCACCCAATTCCATTGGTTTTCATTGCAAAATAGTTTTTTTTCATAGTTCTACGACACCAGTCGTGGGGGGTACCCTTCGGTGAGCCTGAAAAACTCATTTTTTTAATACAATATAAAAAGAAATTGGTCATTTCGGGTGACCTGTGTTTTTGTTGAAACGTTGTAGTTTAGGAACTTCAGACATCCAGGGTTGCTACTCCCCAAAGGGAATTACATATATGATATATACCCTTATACATGAAAGAGACCCAATTCCTTGCAGAACTACATACATAGAATATAGGTCCCCAGTGAACATATTCATCAATTTTTTGAGGATCACCACCCAATTCCATTGGTTTTCATTGCAAAAAAGTTTTCTTTTCATAGTTCTACAAAGTTCTACAACACCAGTCGTGGGGGGTACCCTTCGGTGAACCTGAAAAACTCATTGTTTTAATACAATATAAATAAAAGAAATTGGTCATTTCGGGTGACCTGTGTTTTTGTTGAAACGTCGTAGTTTAGGAACTTCAGACATCCAGGGTTGCTACTCCCCAAAGGGAATTACATATATGATATATACCCTTATACATGAAAGAGACCCAATTCCTTGCAGAACTACATACATAGAATATAGGTCCCCAGTGAACATATTCATCATTTTTTTGAGGATCACCACCCAATTCCATTGGTTTTCATTGCAAAAAAGTTTTCTTTTCATAGTTCTACAAAGTTCTATAACACCAGTCATGGGGGGTACCCTTCGGTGAACCTGGAAAAATCATGTTTTTAAATACAATAGATCATTTCGGGGTACGTTCTAGATTAGGAACATTTCTGCTCTCCAAAGCAAATTACGTACATAATATATACCGTATACCCTTATTACAGGCGGCTGCAGCAATCCAGCAAAACCTGAGAATTTTTTTTTCCTGGATCAAAATGGATAGCCGGAAATATTCTATGTATAGGTTTTTTTTCCGATTCCGGAAGATGCTTTTATTCTATGTATAGGTTTTTTTTACCGATTCCGGGAGATGCTTTTAGAGGCCGAAATTATCGATTCTGTATTCTATGTATGCCATCGAGATTATACATGTACGTATAGTACATATGTGTATACAATTACACATCTATAAACATATGTATTTATATTTTTTTATATACATGTACTTATTTATATTAATATGTATGTACGTAATGTAATGTAATGTAACGCAATGTAATGTAATGTAATGTAACGCAACGTAATGTAATGTAATGTAATGTAATATAATGTAATGTAATGTAATGTAATGTAATGTATATATATATATATATCATATTGATCCATAATGCAAATTTACATATACACACCACCTTTTTTGTATGAATATATACAGCATATATATAACATGATATGTATTTTTACATGGTACATATGTCCAAGATTGTCCGACCTCCTCCCGCTCCAGGCGTGACATGCTCACGTTGCTCCACACGATCAAAGCTCAAAGTTTCGCTGCAATGAGCCGACGCACTCGGCGGCTGTTTGGGATGCTGTTGGTGGATGAGTTGTGCTTGAAGGGCACTGTGTTTCACTCGTCTTTTTTGGAAACCCCAGGGTAAACTAACATAAATGTGGAAAACCCATGATTTTTCACGGATCTACAATGGTGGGTTTTCCATATCTATGTTAGTTTACCATTGCGTTGAAATTGCGAAATTGAAAGAAAAAACAAGTTGTGCTGATTTATCCTCCCACAGAATCACTGCAAGACTAGCAGAGGTTCCAAAATCAACAGTATGAGTTCCAGTTGTTTCAATGTCACAGTTGATTTACTTAGTCTATTTGCTGAACATGGCTATATATACATATATCATCATATATCATGATCATTATATATTTTCCCATTGGTTTGCCGTCTCGGTGCTGACATCTGTTCACCGGTGGCACCGGGCCTCCAAGTATGAGGAGAATCTGGATGTCAAGTCAGAAGTTAATCTAACTTGATATATATAATTTATATCTAGTACTGTAATTCAATTGACTTTGGCATGTGATTTTCAATATCAATCTGAACTCTGAATCCTGAAAAAACCTTTCATCTATATAGTAGACATGAATTCTTTCTGCCAAGGTCATGACTACAACATTCCCTACGGCCCCTGGGGGGTTCGGGAGGTGCTTATTGGCTCTGTCGGCGGTTTATCTTTTGTTTGACTTTTTAATTTAAGACAAAGATATTGCTGAGATCTACAGAAAGCTACTGAATGTAACATTGTACTGTAATACATTGTAGTTTTACTGTTTGGGCTTCGATGATTTAGTGTATAATATAAACACCCTCAATCACCAGAGTTTCTTGTTGGCTTTGCCACACTAATCTGTTGAAAATCGCCATGAATTGGTGGAGGGGAACATACTCTGCATCGCATCCTTGAACTTGGAGGTGACAAAACAATGTATTACAAATATTCAACGTTGACAGGAAAACATGGGGGAGCACGTAGTTGTCTCTCAACATGTGTGATTTTCTCGCAACCGGTCTTTCTGGTCAATCACCAATGCCCCCTTTGAAATAGCCACACTTGGGGGTCAAACCATGTCCCGATGTTCAGAGAATCCCAAATATCATGTTGATTATCCCATATATTTTTGTTTAATATTTGTCTCTTAGTTGTCTCTTCTTTTCGCATTGCTACAAGAGCCAACCCACAGCGTTTCCGGAGCCCGTTGTGCCTCCAGGGGAAATCCTATCACCAGAACCACCTGGACCTTTTGGAGCGGACCTTGTTGTTGTGCACATCTAGGTGCTCCACGGGAGACAGCAAGGGATGGCAATGGATGGATGGGGTTGAATGGACTTGAAGCACATGTGTTTTCGTGTTTCATTCAGTTTGACTGCTCTTTCAGCAAATGATTTTCGACTTTGGGGCTTGAGAATCTTTCAAAGTTGATGAGAGAAGCAGAAAGAAACACCAAACAATGGGGGGGAATCACCAAGAGAGATTGAGAAGATCAGAAACAGGTAGATGTCAACCAATCTAGGGATTCATGAGACCATCACAGTGCCCATAATGGGGACATGACTTATCAAAGTGGATGACATGACCTACAGATACCTACAGTAGACGGCCATGTGTTTCTCACGGCTGGAGTTTAAATACATGGTGATTCTTTATTTGCCGCAAGATGTAAGAATAGAACAGCGCTGTTACGTACAGAAATGGTGTTATCATGTTTTATCATGTTTTATCGACAGCAGCACACAGAGCGCATGCACAGACTTATTTCTGTTGTTTTTCCTAGAAAACTGCATGTACATGATTGTACGTGCATTTCAACATATTTAAACATGATACATAGACATACATAGACTAGATATGACTCGGTTCGATCCTTCCCATCCGGCCATCCCCCGGGACCCCAACTCAACATCCCTCTGGCTCGGTGGTAACATGTGAGGCATTTGGCGGAGTACCTGACACGCTGGTCTGGTGGCAAAGTTTCCACCAGACTCTGTGCCTTGGCAACGAAATGACTAAAGAGTGCAAGAGAACCAATGCGCCCAAAACCGTTGTCGCTTTGAAATTTTAATATATATATGTTCTTCTGTCGTATGACCCACATAATATGTATATATATATATAATTTTATATAGATACATAATATGTATATATATATATATTGCCTGGGTATACTTGTCTTATATTCTTTACAATGGCCGATGATTTTTTTACGGCATTTTTGCCATTTGATTCAGCCCATGAGATGATGATCCTGAACGCCAATGATGTGCTTAGTAGGGCAATGGATGGAAAGGAAGGAATGGGATTATTGTTGATAGTTATTGTGGATCATTCCCTCATTCCCTACGTTTAGCACAAGTTTCAGTTTAGTTTCAAGATAATTTTCATGTACATCCCATTGATCCCCATGATATCATGTTATATCCATTTATATCCCATGTCTAATTCTCCCTGAATTTCATCCCCAACATTTAAGAACCGGTAACCAGTAGCCCCGATCCACTGGTTTGTTGGGTTGACCGTTGACTTAGGTTATTGCGCCGACTATGGTTATTTCGATCGCTACTTGGGCGATGCCGACTCGGAAGGCCATTCCTGGATGGGATTCTTTTTCTCCCAAGAAACTCCAGATTTTTAGCATCAGTTAATATAGTTTTTCGATATTTATTGCATAAATATCATAAATCCATTTACTCACCCAGTTAGCATCAGTTAACCACTTTGATGTTGCTAGGTTCTGGTTCAACACGTCGAAATCCACCATGGTCCCCTTCCACGAATAAAGGACGCTTCGTGACCTTCATCAGCCCGTGCCCGGCCAAAGGCGGCGGACTGGTTGCCTGTGACCATCTGAGATTCCATTCTAGTTACTATATGTGAGTTATACATGTGAATTACTATATGTGAGTTACTTAATATGTTAGTTACCATTTACCATTCTATAGATTTCTTAGTTACCATCTGATACAAACACCACTTTCTGTCGCAGCTCCGATGGAATACGCCAGGTCTTTGTATTTTCCTCCGCGTGGCCAGAAGTCTTCCAGCGCTTCGTTTCTTGGCAGTGACCACCCTTTGGACCAAGGCGCGCTTTGAAAATTCCGAGCGGGTGATCCTGGCAGTCAAAAGTCGGCCCTGACAAGCTATGGGTGTGGTGGCAAATTGTTTGCAGTTATATGATATATGTATACATATATATATATAGAGAGAGAGAATCATAATTATACTAATACAAATATGAGATATATATATATATATATAATTTGGTTGAAATAGTTGCTAAATGGAAAATAAGTAAGTGTGCAAGTGTGAAGAATATTTTGTTTAAATAATTATCGTTTGCGTTCTTTGTTCAGTTGCTTCGCTTTTGGGTCACATGGGGAAAGCAATTTGAGTGGTGTCTTTGACCACCAAAATTCCAGATTGGAAAGGACCAAGGGCCAACTATTTGTTTTCCAACCTCTTGTCAGCTGACTGGTAACTGGAAGAGGAATGAGTCTTCTAACCTCTGCACAGTCCATCCACGAGAAAGCGCTACAAGAACTGCCCAATGTGGTGATATGTCCCGGTCGCAATGCCGTGGTCCGGGAGACCCAGGAACCGACTTTTGGAGACCAGGAATGATGTGGCTTATGGGTTCTAATTACTTTTTGCCACGTCAGAACACAAGCTGCCCCCCCCACCAGTATTGTACTTTATGTATCTTTATGTTTTGTAATTGCAAGGTGTATCCCTAATATTCCCTGACTAATGATTGAACATATAATGACCATTTGGTAGGGGTGAATATGTATGCCGTGTGTGCCTATATCATATTTGTATAATTACATTGATGGCGCCAGGCTCGGTTCAATGGATTCGTCTTCGGCGCCCTCCTTGGCCGAGGCAGAAATCTACAAGAAAACCGCCGTGCTTCTGGTTCCTTCCATTTGGTCAGAGGCACCCCGCAAAGCGAGCGCAAACCGGCCATGAAGGGAGATGGCGGAAGGAAAGCTGCGTTTTGGGGACAGCTACATCAAAAGGGTTTGTTTGACAATGAACTGTTCTAAAAGTGGTTTCCCATCATATTATATACATTATATTATATATAACTATAAATCACTACTTGATGATATAGGAATGAGTTGGCCTGTAGGGGACCCGATGGCCGATATCCAATGCTATTATGTGATGGCCATTGAGGATTTGCCCCATTTTCAGACACACCCAAATACCCCATGCTGAAATGCCATTATGATTGGTTATATATCCCACTAAATCCCTACATGTCCCATCATGATATTATATCCCCAGTACGTCTGATGTTCAGAGAAACACACATAATTATATAAATCAGTTAAATTAGTTTCAGTAAATGATGTTAAATCCCTACATTGTAAATTGCTTTAGAAACCCCATGAACACTAATCCGTTATAACTACCATAAACCAGAGTGAAATTGGAGTTATGTTCACCACCTTAGCGATTTCGTCTACGCGGGGGGAGGGGCACATCATTGTAATCATGGGGAAATATGGAAATTTAATACTTATTAACATACACCGCTAATATTATCCATAATCTGATGTGAAAAATCATGTGAAGTCAATTGAACTCATGTTTTTACATCATGGGTAATACTTTTCCAGTTGATAGTTAAATTGATAGTTTTAATTTTATCAGCTGGCGACTTACAGTAGTTGCACCATGGATAGGTAATAACTACAACTAGTTGATAGTTTCGCCACTTTTTCCACTGATAGTTGATATGTTACACCAATTTAAATGTATCAACTGATATCTGAAACTATCAACAGTTGACTTCAACTTAACTATCAACTGGAAACTTCATATTTTATCGTTGACAAACATATAAGTTGATAGTTAAGTTGATAGTTACAGCATTTTAATTGTATCAACTGATAGTTTAGAACTCTTAAAACTGATCTAACTGATCTGTTGATGGTTAATCCTTAGTTAATTGTAACTTATGAAGTTCGCTCCCGACGAGGCCTTCGGATTGGTGGCCGTGGAGGCGCAGCTTCGCGGCATTCCAGTGGTCTCTTGGCGGATCAAACGTAGAGAGGGAACCATACGATTTATGCTAGATATATGTAGACATTGTGTAGATATATGTTATATGCCATGTTTTTTTTGAGGTAGATATCACGAAACTTGGTTTCAACGGAAAATCCATATTTACACTGAACTTGAAAACAAGTACCAAGTACATGGCACAGACTGCACAGACCATTGTTTTTGGAGGGCCTGTGCCAGGCATACGAGTGTAAAAATGTGCCATGTACTTTTTCGTCTGTGCCATGAACTTTCCGGGTAGTCTATCCCCGTGATATGATCATGATATTTTGGATATCATATCCCATTGATTACCCATGTGGGTCCCCATTGATTAACGCCTCAAGGTGAGCAGCGACCACTATGGCTTGAAGGAGGCGGAAGGGCAGTTGATGGTGAAGATCCCATGATAGTCCCATTGTTTTCCCATGGTGTCTCATAGGAATCCGAATCGTTACCAGCTGGTGTAGGAGTTTGTTCATGCACAGTATGTAAGATATAACAATGACTATAGTTCTTTACGCAACATATAGTTGTATATGAACACGAATGCTACTCGTATATACATTCTATTATTATGTCATACATTGATAGATCCTTACTGGTCCTATGATGATCTGATGTCCTATGCCATTTGTGTGTATATGGAGGTTTCCTAAAATGGGGTACCCCCAAGTCATCCATTTTTTGGTTTTGGGATTTTCCATGATAAACCATCCATTTTGGGGTACTTCCATTCTAGGAAACCCTTATATTGGTAAGATAGAACCTAGAATATAGGTCTAACATAGAATATTCCATATATTGATATCTATACTACTATACCTTATTCCATGCATATATATATATATACATGTTATGTATCAAGGTTTGGCTGCAGTGGCCCCCGTCCCTCATCCGTAACCTGAGCGGGTGGATTCCCGCGGGCCATTTGCGTGGGGCCTTTCTTCGCCGGCAAGCTTCTGCACTGAACTGGCCTCGCCCTGGTGCTAGTTGCCTTGCACGTGCTCTGCCACATCTGAGTGGCACCACCACGCTAGAGGTCCCGGACTCTGAAAACTCCCGGGTGCATCGCTGCCTTCCTGGCCTTTGACCCAGTCCTGGTGTATGTTTTCGGCCTGTTGGATCTTCCTGCACATTCTTTTGATTCAGGATAAGGTGATTCCGCAGGTGAACTTCTCCTTGGACTTTCTGGCCGAGCAGGACGGCATTGTCACCTCTGACAAGGGCGACGGCAAGCAATTCACAGAGAAGAGCGGCACGCAGACAACGTGCGGCAGCGCGGCAAGCCTGGCATTTTCACAAAACTGGAAAAGTACCCCTCAGTTCGAAGCAACTGAGTGTGGTCTATCGGAGGCTACAATCCCATCACTCTGGGGACAAAGCATTTCTCCGCCGGATTGTGAGTGCAATGTCTTCTACGAAAGCTACCGGATGGCTCTGCGGCCAATGCCGCAAAATGAAATCGCCGAATGCTTGGTACTGCGACCTTTGTGGCAGCTCATGGGAAGAGTGCGCTGTGCCTACAGCAAATCAGCACAGCCCCACTTGGAATCAGCAGACCAAGAAGCCCAGAGAGAGAAGCCAGAAGCACAAGCAGAGACCAAGGTCACGCAAAAAGAATCAACAATGGGAACAGCAGGGAATGCATGGGTCTGCAAGCTCATGGGGAGGAGGACCGTGGTCTACGACCTATGTGACAGACAAAGGGAGTGGAAAAGGAATGCAAAACATGCAGGTTGCATCCCCACCACCGCCGCCGCCACCTATGTTGGCACCGGCTCAAATGCACTGTCAGACTCCATGGATGCCCCAACAAATGCCACAACAGATGCCACAACAGATGCCTCAAATGCAAATGATGCCCTTCCTACCGCCACAGCTGGACCAGCAGGTGATGCAAACAGTCCCACCGCAGCCGACAGCTCCAGTCATGGACCCGGAAGATCACAGAGCAGAGATGAGTGCGCAGTCCAAACTGAACAAGATCATGAAGGCTGCGAAGAAAGAGGACCATCTTTCGCCAGAATTCCAGTCCCTGGTGCAGTCCGAGCGCAAGAAGGACGGCAAAGAGAGCACCAGCAACCTGTTGGCGGCGGTCAAGGTTCATGGAAAAGCAAAAGAGGCGCTTATGGAAGTGGAAAGCTCACGCATGCAGTTATGGTCGCAGTGGCGTGTCTTTCTCCAGGCTTCTGTGACCAAGTGGAAGGAATATACGGCGCAGTTCCAGGCGTCAGAGACAGCCTTCCAACACCAAATGCAGGTAGCTACAATGCATTTGAGGAAAGCACAGAAAAGAGTCGATATGGCCAAGAAGCGTGCAGATGCTATTGGCAAGGAGGACGAGACCCTGGAGATCTCAGACGACGACATGGACGAGAACGAGACAGACTTGCCCGAAGAAGAGGAGGTTCCAAGAGACGAGAATGCGCAACGAATTCAAGAGGGCTTGAATCAGGTTGTCACGAGTCTCTCATCCCTCTCCGAGTCTGCCGACAAGCTCGAGCCCAAGTCAAAGCGACCCAGGACCAGAGAAGAAGAAGATGCTCCACCTGGTTCGAAGGCGATGCAGCCTTTTCACAAGGCCGATGCTTCATGACCGATGAGTATGATCATCAATGGCCACAGGCTACGTGCTCTCCTGATGCTGTACCACTGCACTGGGGGCACTCAATTTTGAAAGAGTCCTGCTTCACTTCCCCTTGGAATGCAGTTGAAAGAGCCACCGAACTGGCCTGGGAACTGGGAATCCCCTGTTCAGTTCGGGTTGACATCATGAAGCTCTCACCAAGGGACAGAAAGAACAAGAATTGCCATTCAGTCAGATTTGAAGGACATGATGATAGCTTGAAAGGGAAAGTCGAGCTTGAGGAGTTCCAGCCTTGCATCAAGTCCCCTGACGACACAATTTTGGCGCCAATCTTTCACACATGGCCAAAACGACCTTTGTCAGAGCCATCATCTGATCCAGGCCGTAACCTGGCCCCCAGAACCTCAGCTGGCAGCGCAAGTCATAGACATTTCTTGGACAGAATTCTCCCTGACGACCTGCCGGCGTACATCCATCATTTGCAAACCCTGTGGAAGGATGATCTTTTAAGACTCCCTGCAGGGCAACAATACCGATTGAGAACATGGTACATTCACCATTTGCATCAGCCCAAATGCCGAACACCCAGAGTTGTCAAGCTTGTGCATGATCCTGGGTCTTGGCATCAGGGTCTACTCGCAGCTTGGCGAGATCTAATACATGATGATGAACTCTTGACCATTGCTGTGGTATTCCCTCGTGTCCGAGATCAAAATCCGAATGAACCGACACAGGCTGATGTGATGCTGATCCAAGGCCAACAAGATGGAGCACATGCACTTCGAGGAGGAGTGACAACAGTGTACCTTCCTGGAGATGATCGCTACTATATTGGAGCTGCTTCATATGCTCGACACCTCAGCGGAGTTGGTATCCTTGAGGGAGTAGATGCAGCAGAATTACTCCAAACACATGCTTGTGACATCTTTCATGGAGGCACTGCAATACCATCCACATTGACTCCAGTGCATTGGACAGCAAATGGCCATTCCTTTGTCGCAGTTTTCCAGGACCTCACAGGTTCACGTGCGACATCGTCTACGCAAAGGGACCAAAGTCCAGAAGTCGCGATATCGACCACTGATCCTCAGCCGCTAGAGCTAGACGAAGGAGGCGAAGAAGAAAGCCCACAAGTCTCGACTTCAAGCTTTGACGAGGAAGACTTGCAAGGTCTGCAAGTTTTCAGGCTTGGACAACCTGCACAACAACCTGGGCATCACTGCTTTGTCAGATGGAGATCGTACAACATGATCCTCTTTGACACCCTGCACTCCATGGGCATTCACCGAGATCGAGCAGTCGGATTCCACTATGTGCAAGCTCCACTGATTGATCAACATGAAGCTGAAGAAGCAATCATTTTGCAGTTAGTTGGAGACATCCCAGGTGGGTCAGCAGACAAACTGGTCCTCATCGACCTCACTTATCACACAGCGGGCCTTGATGATGCACATCAGAGGATTGTGAGGAGATTTCCGAGGTTTTTGAGCCGTCCATCCTTGATCACGCAGCTGCATCTACAGGCACCATGTGAGGACAGTCCTGACTCATGCACGTTTCATTTCAACAATGACTTGTGGAATGAAGATGACCTATTCCCAAGGGAATTGCAGCATGGCACGTACTTGCGTGTTGAGGTCACGGTTGATCCACCAACAAGAGCATGCGCCCCAGCAACGTCCACAAACAGAGAAGTTCCTGCTGGATCCAGCAGACCTGATCCACGTGGCGCTGCCGGGACGACTGATGTGTCATCTTTCATGCAAAGGTCTTCAACGCTGAAAGGGAACTCAACATTGCTCATGAGCCACAGTGCCACCTTTCCAAGCCTTGCGGGTAGACAGGAGCCCGGAACAGGTCGCCATCACAATTCCAGGCGAATTGCTCACGAACAGCGACACTCATGGATGCCACAGGCCAAGATGATGTTCCGAGAGTGTGCTGCAGTAGAATTTGATGATGAGGGCCCTGTACTTTACTGGACGACTTGGTTTCTTCATTATCAACGCTATACAAAGAGCTTTGAATCGCGCATTTTGCGCCTTGATGCAGCGCATCACTTCTGGTTTGATGAGTTATGCAACCTCTGGGCAGATGCAATGGACCCACACCGACCTGCCCGAGTTGCTTTTGTGCACCCAACCCCACCAGAAGCAGATGACAGTCAACATGTGGGACATCTCATCTTAGTCCAAGGACAAGGAGCAGAACATCCAGTCCTACTCACAGCTCTCTTTGATCATGCAGTCCACAGACGCGTCTGGCACCTGGCAGCCCTCCAACCGAATCATGTTGGGCAGGAAGACATCCTGGAAGATCTTGGTATCGCAAGATGGTGTAACGTACGGCGGTGCAGATTGCAAGTTGGAGACATTCACCTTGAGCAGAGAGATCTTGTCCAACTGCAGGATGGAGAGAGCATTGTCGTCACCATCCCAGGATTGCGGCAGGTGACTACAGAGACCGATGTGTCCTCCTTCATGCAGATGTACACACAGACGAAGCGACAGAAGCCTCCAGATCGCCCCAACCAGTTGATGCAGGCGGCACCACAGACTGGCTTTCCAATTCAAAATTGTGGCAACTCTCAACTGAACCCTCACGCCCCGGCCTTTGATCCGCGACAGCCTGACCTGCGAACATTGTCAGAATTTGAAGCAGATCTCTGGGCTCAATGGGATCAGGAAGCATTTGCTTGGGAGGACGAAGAGCGATCATGTACCATTCTTACATGGTTTGTAGATCACACATGGCAATGGCCACATTGTGACCAGCCACGTAGACTCC